TTTTAAGTGCGATTGAAGGCAGATAAACATGTCCCAGGATAATGTTGAAGGATCCAATCTAAGTCAGTCACCAGGACCAAAGGTTATTGAAGAACACACAACACTGTCAAACTCAATACTCTTAAGCTCAGTTTTGGCTTGTGAAAAATTAATTGGAAAACTTGATTTAATGCTGCAAAAGGCCAGTTATTCCTGTTCCTGTAATCTATTAAGTCTCCTCCAGTTTATATTAGATCATTTTTTCCCATTTCTTGGGAAAGATGTACTATAAACTCAAAAATAGTTTTAGTTTTTAAAAACCTATCATTTTTACATGTTCTACAACCATTGGAGGGAAAAAATAGCTTGATCCGACCTATGTCTTGTTATCATCCCAAACCCTGTAAGTTAATTTTACTTATCTTCTTTTAAGCCAGTATAGACAGTTATGTTTTATCACCTAGTAAATGTAATCAGCAACTCAAATTTATCTCTAAATGTACTGTAATACAATAATTTAGAATGGTATCTTAAGTTTGGACTGTACATTATGTTATAAATAACTGCAATGTATTATTGTTTGAACAGTTGCTTTATTCTATGTCTATTGTGCTCATAGCTATAAGTATACAATAAAGCTACTAATATTTCTAATTGTGTTATGCCAGATTCTGACTGAATCAGTGAAGCAAATGTTTTAAAGAACAGGGGTCTCCAACCTCTGGCCTGAAAGATTCTAATCAGGCTGCAGAAATGGCTGGAGAGTGTGTGTGTGTGTGTGTGTGTGTGTGTGTGTGAACATCCTCACTTGCACAAGCAGTGAGCTAGCACATGAGTGCTCCATTGATGTGAGCAACAGGTGCACCTGCATGCTAGCCACTCACATGGAACCATCCTACCTTCCCTCCCCTCCCCTCGCTGGTCATGTTGGGGAACTCTTTAAGAAGTTATCAGAAATATATTTTCACATTACAGGTTTGACACACTTGTACTGTATATTGATTTAAAGCTTTTTCCAGATGAACCTATTAGCTTTTCTTTTTTAGATTTAGCAGATTAAGGTGACACTTGGTAAGCTTTTGATTTGTCATGGGCTCTTCAATTTGGGCTTTCCAATTTAATCTTCCTTTGTACCACAGCTTAGTTGCTCACTTGCAATTAAAATCCCAAGTGCTTAGTCCCTTTTAAACCTGTAGGTTAATAGGCAAATCCTGATGACCTATTTTCCATTTACAATGTTTCTTCAAAATATGTCTGATTCTTTGTGTTGGCTGGTTTCTCCACTGCTGGTTTAAGTTTGTTTGTTTTATACAATCTATCAAAAATTAAGCTCCCCATTAAACAAAGAGACATATCTAAAATAAGCTGTATATTTTTCAAATATGTTTGTTAGGGCAGAACTCACTGGCAGGCAAAGCAAGAAGCATATTAATAGATGTAGAGAAACTCATGGTTAGGTGTAGTACTGTGAAACCAGCACAAAATTGGAAATAGTCAATGAGTTGTGCCATAGTAAGTATGTAACAAACTAGGTGTCTTATTGTTAGGCAAGTTAATCTGTTAGTTCTTTTCTACAACTTCTGTTTCAATTAGAAGTATACTGTAGACATTTCAAATAATTAGTGAAATATTTAATAATAATAATATATATGTAACAGAGCTTTTAATAATCAAATACATATTTTAAAATAAAGTTCCTTAAAATAGTATAGGTCTATCAAGATAATTATTCATCTGTCATGATGAAGTTATATAATCACATTCCATTCATCACATGAGTTATGAATATATTTCTTCAGATGCAACCAACTATAACAGTCTCCTACAGAGCTGTAATGCAACTTTCTATTGTAGAAAATTAAGTTATATTATAGATGGGTGAATCGCATTCTCTAACCAGTTCCATGATCCCTCAGAGATCTAGACAATAAAAGACAGAGATAAAAAACATTTTAAAAGGAATACTGAATTCACATTCCATTCACCTTTTAATACAGATCTTTGTAGTATTATTTTGCAAGATGACTGGTAAATCTGCACACAATTAAAGCTGAATTCTTTATTTGCTCTTCATTCTGTATTTCTTCAAGATATTGGATAGATTGCAGTATTTATGAGGCGGCTATGCCAAATGTTGCTGCTGTTCTAAATATTTTCGAGTTCTTCAAGGTCTTGGAGTGTCAGTTTGGTAGGGTACAATTTCTACTGAGATAGAAATTATAATAATGTAAAGCCAAGTGGGTGATTTGAGCCGAGGTGGCGCAGTGGATAGACCACTTCAGCTGACTGCTATCTGCAGTTCAGCGGTTCAAATCTCACCGGCTCAGGGTTGACTCAGCCTTCCATTCTTCCGAGGTGGGTAAAATGAGGACCCAGATTGTGGGGGCGATATGCTGACTCTGTAAACCGCTTAGAGAGGGCTGAAAGCCCTATGAAGCGGTATATAAGTCTAACTGCTATTGCTATTGCTATTTGGTTCTCTCTCAGCCCTTGAAAGAAGGCAAATCAAAATCCTACCAAGAAAACTGCAGGGACTAGTTCAGGCAATTACTAGCAGTCAAGACTGATTCAAAATCACCAAACTGATCAAACTCTTACATGTGTAAAACAAAATGGCACTATATTTATTTTATCTATTTTATCCAAGCAAACCCTAGGAAAGATAGACAGTGTTAAGAAAGAAATAAATAATATTCAAATGATTGAGTTTAAGGATGAATATTGATTATGTGCTATCAAGCCAATGATGATTCTTCATGACACAGAGATATTTTTTTTCTCCAAAATCAGGAAGAATAAGAGTTAATCTGAAATCAAGGACTAATACTATCCGTCTACATTATTTATTTGTGTTCTTTTTTAATAGACATGATAGAAAAAAATCACCTTCAACTTTTTTTCTTAATATGTTTAATTAAATTCAAATATTATTCTAACAGATTGGCAAAATAAATGTTAAGCTTTCAGATAATTAAAAACAAGTCTTTAGTTTTATAGCCTTTACATAAATCATTTTATGAAGATTTACATGTTCTTGAATTAAATTCCATTTCTTCACATGCATGATACCCTGATGATCAGTTATGCCTATATGGAGGGGGAATTTTTTAAATTTATAATTGTTTGTATTTTTCATATTGTCTTAATGCCCCTTAATGAAATCGCTCCCAAAATGTAATTATCTGGATACTTGTATGGGAAGTCCTGCTCCTAGAGAATGAAATATTATGGGGAATATTAAAAGAGGCAGAATATTATATTTCCCCAAAGGAAAAAAATATGCTCTTAAAGACAGAAAGCAGCCCCAGGCTTCCTGCTATAGTGAAACTCAAGATGCCTATTCATAAACAAAATACCAGGCTGGAGCTGATGGAATTAAGAATTTACACAAGGCTCACTACATTGCACAACCCCCTGGAGCATCTCTTTCACCAAGAACTCTATATAAATCCATCCATTCACTCAGCCATTTTGTCAGCCACCCCAGAAACATGCTGCTGTCTCTGAAGTTTCTGGAAAACCAAATAAACAGAGACCTTCTTTCCTTGTAGCCAGCCTCCATTTTATTTCCAGCATTTTTCTCCTTGGAAAAATGGAACCCGACTGGATTTTTCTTCCAACACTTCAAATTCAAATCCAAAAGTGCTTTGGTTCGGCTGGCTCAAGCCAATGGGAGTTACAGTACACCACAGCTAGAGAACGATCACCCAAAGATTTTAAACTCCTTTATTTATTCGTTTTGACACCACCATTGTTAGAAACCAATCCCAGTTTCATTTACCTGGGAAACTCACAGAGAACAGTAAGATTAACCTCTGAGCAAACAAGGATAATAATGGTTTTGAAATACCTAGTTTTTGTTTTTGTTTTGCAACAGACTAACACAGCTTTCCAGATCTTTTAAAAATCTGCCTAGACTTGTTTAAATAAGTTTGCAAGAGTGCCTAATATTTCATGAAAGCATCTGGTAATAATTACTTTCTACTCCATTTCCCCCTCCACGTGGAAAAGACTCTCAGTCCCTCGCTCTTTCTCAAGTTTAAAAGGATCTAGCAAGGTAATTAAGAAAATAACAAGCTAAAAATAGAGAAAGCTCGAAGAGCATTCTTCAAAATGAAAAAATGTCTTCTGCAATCAGGACATAAGCCTAAGTCTGAAAATCAGGCTTGTCAGATGTTACATCTGTTCTAACCTGCTCTAGGGAGTAAAGAGTTGGTCTTTGACAGAAAACCACTTCAAGAAACTACAAGCATTTGAAATGTGGATTTACAGACGGCTGTTAAGTATAATCTGGGTTGACAAAATCACAAATGAGGAAGTGATAAGCCATCTGGGAAAGCCAAGGGAAATCATCAAAGCCATTAAAAAGCGAAAGTCACCATATTTTGGACATGTGATGCGACACCCAGAAAAAATACGGCATCCTTCACTTAATCTTCCAAGGAAAAATTGAAGGAAACGAGTTCAAGGCAGAAGAAGAACATCATGGCTTCAAAATCTAAGGGACTGGTTTGGACAAAACTCAGCAGCACTTTTTCATGTTGACAAAAATAGGATTGCCAACATGATCGCCAAAGTCCGATGACGGATATGGCACATCAAGAAGCTTAAAATGCAGAAGGAGAGATAGAGAATCAGTGTCTCCTCGTCACCTCTTTCAGCAAGCAGGGCACAAAACAAACAAACCCCAGAAGAAGAAATAAAAAGCCACCAAACGCCGCTCGTGGGAGAGAATGAATGAAGGCGACCCGGTCCGGCCGGAGGAATTTCGCCGGAGCGAACGGGAGAGCCGATTGGCCTTCGAGGGTCGAAAACAGGAAGTGGGCGGAGTAAAATAGTTATGACGTATCGGGGGGGAATACTTCAGTTCCACAATTAGGCGGCGAGCGGAGATTGGGCTTCTGGGCACGCGGCGGGAGCGCGCCAAAGGAGGCGGAGTCTGCTCCTTCGCCCCGCCTTCCTTCGTTTCTGGTTTCGGGCCCTCCCACTCCTTAAAACGCAGCCCATCCTCCCACGAGCCGCATTAGTGGCGGCGCTTCGTTTGTCAGGCAGCGCCATTGGGCGGAGAAGCTGCGCGCTCGGCTTTTTTTGTTTTTTGTTTTCCCTCCCTGCCCGCCTCGGCTGGCCCTGTGGCTGGAGGCGGCTGAGCTGGGGCTCCCAGCCCGTTTCTCCTGCTCGGCGCTCTGGTTCCCCCACCGAGTCTCTCGCTTGAGGGCGCCTCCGCCGCCACCACCACCTCAGCGCCGAGATGTTTGACAAGACGCGGCTGCCTTATGTGGTGCTGGACGTGGTCTGTGTGTTCCTAGGTATGCCTCGGGTTCCGCAGCGTGGGGGATCCGGGGAGGAAGGGGAGGCGCCTGGGCACCTCAGAGAGGCGATGCGCCACCGCTGCGCACTTGTCGGTTTACCCACCCGACTGGCTCTTGAGGCAATTCCTCCGCTTCTGTTCCTGCGGTTACCCCGGGGACCCATGAGGCATATGTACGTGTTTTGGGCGAAGGCAATAAATGGAGAGACCCTCTGAATGAATCTCTGGGGCGGGGGTTGCACAAGGCTTTATCTCGCTCTTCTATATATGCCTCTACTACTTGCATATGCAGCGAATGTGTATCTGGGGTAGCTTGCTTCCCCTGCATGTTGACAGGCTAATCTTTGCCTCGCATCTCTGGCTTTGCCGAAAGAAAAAAAAAGCTCGGGGAGGGGTTGGAAAAGGGTTAATAAATGCAGCAATGTTTTTTTCATTTTTAGGTTTGTCTGCTTCAGCCGTTGTCGCTGCTTTTTTTGCGTTCATCTGTTCATCTGCTTGCTTACTGGCTAGCTTCGCGCCAACCCTCATCTCTCACCTAGAAAAACTTGGTCACTGGAATTCCGCTTAAATTAAGGGTTTTATTCAAGTTGGCTAATATAACAAATGGCTTGAATGAGTGGTGTACAGAGAAAGAGTTTTTTTAAAACACCCCCTCCCCCCCCCAACCACCTTGATGGGCTGGTAGATGGAAAAATCACAGCTGCATTTTGTGCTGGCTTCTTCAACCTGTGCCCTCCAGGTGTATTGGGATCCGCATCAAGCATCCAGTGAAGTCAATTGCATTTGGTGGGTATCAGACAGGGGAAGATTGATGTACATTTAGGAAACTGAGTTTAGAAAGAAAGCAGTTTATTTCCTCTCATGTGAACATACATTTATGTAAAGGGATAAATAATTGACGAAGTTGCATACTGATGTCCTACAATACAGCCTTTAATGGATTTTTTTAATGGGTGACTATAGCTGCTCTTAACGTTAGGATTACAAAACATGTATGCAGCACCAGTATTTATTTGCTGATAGTTCTTTTTCATTTTTGCAATATGAAGAATGATCACAATGTAATTAAAATATGAATTTGGCAAAGTATAAACTTAACTTTGTCTAGCCTTAAACTTTGTTACTCAAAGCATCTAGTTTTAGACTGACATTTTCTGGGGTGAATGTAATACTGAACTACTAGATTTGGTTGTTGTGAAATATTTGTAAGTGTTAAGTGAGGGCAGTGTAGTGATGGTAGCCCACCATTCTCTAATAGATTTAAAAAGGCCTTGATGGATATTTATTTCATGTATGCTATTTCAAATCCATTAAATAGAAGATAATTGGATTTTGAACCAACAAAATAATTGCTTTAGAGTAACTGAAAATTTGCTTTTTTAGAAAGGGATGAGAAAGCCTCGTGCCATATAAGTTTAGCAAAGAATGAATGTTTCTATAAAATCTATTTAAATATAGGATAATATCTGCAAATAGTAACATTCTCAACCACTCTTTAATAGATAATTTGTTGGGTGATATGGTTAATAATTATCCTTAATTAGATAATTAAATAATTGACCAATTTTACTGTGAAACTGTTCTTGAATAGATAAAGGAACTTCTTGCTTCCAAGTTAATAATTCTGTATAAACAAACTGGATAAAGTTATTTCAGGATTGGGCCTTCAGAAGTTATGTATCATCAGATTCTTATATCTAAAATATATCTTAAGTCTGATGTATTTTAAAGATTTCAGCAAAATCATGTATGTTAGGTGTATTAATACTATTGTTACACTATAACAATATCTAATATATTTGACCCGAGGAAATATTTTAGAAGATATAAACCAGTGTTTACACAGTGTACACTTTAATAAATTATATGATCTAACATGATGAGATAACAGACATGGTTTCCTGTTGCAGTCAAAGCTACTGTGAAATCTCAAACACTAAGCATTTTATTATGGCCTAAGCAACAATGAAGTTAAAAGGAATGCCTAAAGTTCTCATGTAATGATGTCCAAATAATTGCTGGTGATCAGCATTCCCGCACTGATGTTTCTCGGATGAGAATACTGAATAATATTGCAGAATTAGTTATATAATGGCTCGGGAAAACCCCCCACAGTGTTTTAAAAGTGTTTTCTGCCTTTCCATTTGAAAAATTTTGTAAAGAATAAAAACTTCCAGTGAAATATTTTATTTTGGAGAAATCGATGCAGGTGAGACAAGATAGTTTAACTGTACTTTACTTCTCCTAAGTTTTTATTTGCAATAAGTTTGCAATAAGATGCAATAGGATGATATTTATGTAGTGTGTCAGTGCACTAGGACCAGTACACCAGAGGACAGGTAGTTCGGCACTTTCTGACTCTAAATGTTAGAGCAACATGCATGGTTGCTGCTAAGCAGCATGGCCATTTGTACCAAAGGAAGAATAATAATTCAATATATTATTTTCTTATGTATTTGTGTATTGTTGCTTATCTAATAGCTGTGCCCCTGACTGAGGTTCATTGCTTCCATTGTAGATATCTAACTAAATTATATTTTTACAGTTTACAAATATGCCAAATCTGATAAGTGTGTGAATGAGCCAAGTTAGTTTTGATGGGTGAAGGATTCAAGCAAGGCGAAGTGGCAGTGGGTTCTTGTGAGCCAAGGTGGCGCAGTGGTTAAATGCAGCACTGCAGGCTACTGCTAGATCAGCAGTTCAGCGGTTCAAATCTCACCGGCTCAGGGTTGACTCAGCCTTCCATCCTTCCGAGGTGGGTAAAATGAGGACCCAGATTGTTGGGGGCAATATGCTGACTCTCTGTAAACCGCTTAGAGAGGGCTGAAAGCCCTATGAAGCGGTATATAAGTCTACTGCTATTGTAGATATGTGGTTCTTGCAGGTTCTACCTCTGGTTTTGAATGGTTTGTATTGGAACTCTGAAGTCTGGGATTTTCCTGGCTTCTGATACCTGTTTGAAAGCAGATGACAGCTTGCAGACTTGTGCACCAGTTTTATTCATTCTTGGACTTGGAGACTCTTTGTGTAGTCAGATATATCTTGGTTACCTTGTAGGTATAATATTGAAAAGTGCTGAACATGAGGCTCCCTTGAGGATTAATCAGAATGTGCACACAATTAAAAATTCAAATGCATGAAGAGTGATGGGCATACCTTACTATGGTGTGCTCTGGTAGCTGCAATGGTTACCAATAAGCTTCCAGGTGCAATTGAAGAGTCTGATTATTATCTTTAAAGTTTTAAAAGTCCTAGTTATCAGAGCTATCTATTTCCTGTCAGATCTGTCCATCCTGTTTGATTAACAGAAAAAGCTTGTTTCAACGATGTCATCTAACTTAATGTAGGAAGCACTCCTCCTCTGGGAGTACACCTGCCCTTGGAACAGCATCTCCCAGTTATTTATAGCACCACCATATTCCTCTTTAAACAAGATTTAATAATATGACTCTTCCTCCAAGCCTTGGATTAGTGAAAGATAAAGCCCTTTGAAGTTGAGAGATGGATGGAGAATTCTTTTTTATTTATTTCCTCTGGACAACTCTCTTTCCCAATATGAGACAGTTCTTTTTAATTGAGAATCTACCAAGAGTCATTCTGGAATTGGGCAACTTAAAATGTTGATGCAGAAAAAAAAATAGAACGTTCATAAAAGAGCAAAAATAAACTTAGAGCTACAGAGAGTAAGACAAATATTGGATACATTTGAAATTTTCCCAAAATTTTTCATTTACCCCTTACCCCAACCTACAGTTTTTTTCATCATGGCTTCAAAATGTCTAGAAATTTTCTATCTCAGTAATGAAAGTTTTATAACTTATGATATATGGATTGCAGAAATAATAAATTGAGGGTTTAAAATGAGACATTCATGATCATTGTGCGTGGAATATAATCTCTTGTAATCTCTTTATAAACTCTGTCATCCTCTTGATAGATTTTGCTGAATAGATAATTTGATCTGAGTTTTTGAGAAGAAAACATAAACCTTGACTAAGCATTTAGAGTCATAGTTCCTAAATGTAGAACTACAGAACTTCAACTGCAGAAAGGGAATGGGAGATTAGATGGATGGATGGATGGATGGATGGATGGATGGAATTAAATAATAAGAAAATTATAGCATTTATAAAAGTTATAATTCTTTTGAGCTTCTGGGTAAGCTTCAGAAAGGATAACTTTCATCTCTAATTCAGTCTAAAGTGTCTCATCTAATGAGAATCTTAAACCAATCTTTTTCAGTCTCAGATGGAAAAAAAGTCATGCCTGCTTTAATGAAAAGCTGATGCAAGATCTGAAGCAACTTCCAGATTTTTTTGAAGCACGTATACCCCCAAAGAATATCCCTTTTCATTGTTCTAAATAATTTTCTTCCTAGTGGATAGAGCTGATAGAGCAATTCAAGTATTAGATTCTCATTTGGCTTTATTCGTATTTAATTCCAAAGCTGTGAGTAATTTAAGTTCAATAGCTGTTCAGATTTTTGACCACTTCCTGTGTAACTGTAGTACCAAAAATAATGCTAAACTAGAAACAAATCAGCATGGTTCTTAGTTATAAAGTGATTAAAATAGTACACTTGGGACAAATTATAATTTGTATACTCAAATGTATACCTAATAAATGGTGATTTAGATTGTGAAAAGTTTTAAGAAAAGATAATTGGGCAGCAGCACACCAAATTGTGTCTTCTGTGTGTTTTCTGCTGTTAGGTTCTGTGGGGTTTATTTCATTCAAGATCATACAAGTTACAAATGCAGAATTTAATTAAGATTGTCATGATTCATTTTCTTTCATGGTTATTGGAAAAATATGAAGTTATCATCCTGACAAACACATACTTCAGGAAAGCCAGTGTTTCTCAACCTCAGCAACATTAGATGCATGGATTTCAATTAGCAGAATTCTGCAAGTTGAGGTCCCCATATCTTAATGTTGCTGAGATTGAAAAAAATTGAATTTGATGAAAACACTGGAGTTCTTTTTTCTTTTTCAAGT